CTATAGTCTAGTCTATAGTCTAGTCTATAGTCTAGTCTATAGTCTAGCCTATAGTCTAGCCTATAGTCTAGTCTAGTCTATAGTCTAGTCTATAGTCTAGTCTAGTGTCTAGTCTTGAGTCTAGTCTATAGTCTAGTCTTGAGTCTAGTCTATAGTCTAGTCTATAGTCTAGTCTATAGTCTAGTATATAGTCTAGTCTAGGTCAACAATCTAAAATACAGTTTGGCTCCTGGCCAAATATTAATATTAATATTTACTAAAGAAACCGCTAAGTCTTAACAGTTAAAAATCTTCATTTGCCCATCACTGTTTTAATACTTTATTTTTTACAACGTCATCTCTTTAGTTGTTGTGCATGTGTCTGTCCATATTTGTATATTTATCAAAACAATTACATCTATACTTGTACAATTATTAATACGACATATACCGTTAATTTTAAATTTAACACCTGCGTCAGAAGTCGTAATTTAAATGTTTGCATTATTTGGTCATCATCGTAATAATTTTGATTAGAATTTTCTTTTTATATCAACATATTTAATATACTTTTGTTTTCCGTTTTTTTCATATACAAATCAAAAATATTTGAAAATCGACTAATTATTCATTCAAGCATTTATTTTGTTTTAATTTATTTAGACGACCAACAAAATTCACATGATTGTGATGATGATGATGCATTTCATTTAAATATCGAGTATAGTTTGTTGGCGGTTTTTCGCCATCGTTTTCATTTTTGTTTTTGTTTTTTGTTTTTGTTGTTATATTATATTGGGGCTGTTGTTATTTATTAATTTCTAATTTTCTAACGTAATAGTACTTGTTGTTAGTGTTGTTTGTTAAGCGGAAGATTCGTTTTGAAGGAAATATTCGAATAATGTTTATGAGTTGGTTTTTTTGATCGGGGTTTTATTATATGCAGAGAATATGCATTTCAAACCTAAGAGCCTAGAGAACTAATTTACGGAAGCCGATCATTCGCTTACTGTACCGCTTCTGAAAAGCTTTTTGACTAATTTCAAATGTAAAACGTTATTCTTTTAGTTCGTTCATTGAAAAGCGCTTATTATCTATAGTATTTTATAGAAAATCATTAAAAACAAACCGCCATTTCATAGACATCAAGACATTAATCTGACTCGAACATCAAAATCAATTATCCGTCCTACCATGCACAAAGCCCTTTTAAAAATATTCGTATAAAAAATACCCAATTTAAAAGACCGCAAATAGAAATCAAAGAAAAATAATAATAACCACGTGCATACATATTGTATTTATGGTAATTGCAAAAATCACGAGTATATTTTCAATATGAGCCAATATTTTTTTTATTTATAAAAATAGTGTGTGTTTTTTTTTAGTTATTTTCAAAAAAGGTGTCATATGGTACCTTGATTTTTGTTCTTCTATTTTCCGCAAAAAAAAAAAAATTCAAAACACAAATTATGCATAAATATTTTTGTAAATTCATAACTACATATGTTTGTCGGCAAGAGTACATATACATATTTGTAAGAATTTATTATACATTTTAAGTTTTTCTTTCGCTTTTTTTTACTTTTTGTTGTTGTCTTTAATACTATAGAGGTATTTCCTCTTGGCAATAAATAGAAATTGAAAATTCATATGTTAAATTAGCATAAATACTTTACGAAACTTTTGTGATTATTAAAGAAACTAAGAGTATGTGGAAAATATATACAAAATAAAATCTTTATTTAAGATTAAAACAAACTCAGCATGTTTTAAGTTATTTAAGTTATAAGCCCACAACTTATAAAAAATATTTAAATTTTATTTGTCCTGTTAAGACAATATATCTCCATACCAAAGCAGTTATTGATATGTATGTACATAAATCATCATGCGTATGAACAATTATTTATCACTCATACGCACTTGCTCTAGAAAATGTTGGCAAATTATGGTCGTTATATGTTTTGTATTTTATTATCTCTATATATCGCTCATTTACTACAAGACTGGCATAATCCAAAAAAAGGCGTTTATAGAAAAACAACTATTTTTTAAATTAATTTTAAACAAAACATGGAATTTGAATAACACAAGCCAACGAATTGAAGGTTTGTGAAAACTTTTGAAACCAATTAGACTGATTTGAATGTGTGTTTAGCTTCTTAAATCGAATCTGATATCTGTTTTTCTCTATCACCCACTATTTTGATAGAATTCCATAACGATATTACAAAGTTTTGGAATAAAGTATGGAAAAAAAAGTACCAAAAGGTGTTAAAAATGGAAAATTTCATTTTATTCCATCTCATTGAGCCAATTTTGAACTTCGATACCAAGGACTATTTTTTGTACATTTTCTTTCTTCAAATTGTACTTTTTGTTTTATCTATAATATTAAACCTAGAAATATGAAATTAAGCATGTAGAGCCCTAAGTAAATGAAAATATTTAAAAGTGGACTATTTGGTACCTTTTCATTCTTCGAAGTGTAATTTTTGGTACTTTTTCATTATTAAAAAGATACTTTCAGAGTTTTCTTTAATATTAAATCTAGAAACACTGACTTAATGGACGTCTTGTAGAAAAGAGTTTTTGGTACTTTTACGTTCTTCAACTGGTACTTTTTGTGTATTCTATAATTTTGAACTAAGAATTATAAAATATAACTGATTGTAGCGACCTAAGTAAATAATAATCCATTCTTCTACTAGTACTATTTCAGTTTTCTATAATACTGAACCTAGAAACATAAATTTGAAGACCCGAAGTAAATGAAAATCTATAAAATGGGACTTTTTAGTGCTTTTTCATTCTTCAATGTGTACTTGTTTGGTACTATTTCGTTATTAAAAAGGTACTTTCTGAGTTTTCAATAAAATTGAGCCTTAAATTTAACACTGAACCTCTTGAACGTCCATTAAGTTCTGTATTAAAGATATTTTGATTCTTTAACGTTCTTCAAGTGATACTTTTTGTGTATGTATGTAGCATCCTAAGTAAATGATAATCTATAAAAGCGAACTTTATGGTACTTTTCCATTCTTCGATTAGTACTATTTCAGTTTTCTATAATATTGAACCTAGAAACATAAAATTAAACACTCATGTACTTGAATGAATAGAAATCCATGAGAGGAAGACATTTTTGGTACCTTTTCGTTCTTTTATTGTATATTTAGGGTCCTGAGCGTATGAAAATCTAAAAAAGAGGTATTTTCTGTCCTGATTGAATGAAAATCTATAAAAGTGGAAAAGGAGAATTACATTCGAATTATGAAAAAAAAACGTTCGAATAATTATTACAGGATAGCGAAGCATACCGGGTTAAGCTCGTATACTTCGAGCAAAATTAATTTAAATATTGAAAAACATCACGACGTGAATTATTTTATTATAGTATTCTATTCTATTTAATACAGAATAGGAAAATATCACTTAAATATTTGGTCCTTCGAGCCGGATGTTGTTTGTCGTGGTAGTTCACTGCGTGAGAACAGTCAAGTAGAGTCCGTGAGACACTATTTTGACCGGACCACTCCACTCGTCAGATGTAGTAATGTACAGTATTAGATCCAGCCTGTAGCCTAAACATCAGGATATCATTAAGTTTAGACAAAGAAATCTCACCAAGTTTACATATGAAGTAACTGACAAGAAAACAGTTTCTCTTAACGGCTAGAACAGTACATTCACAGGGAAGATGGAAGACCGTTTCTTCATTTTTCCTGTCTTTGCAACTGTGATGGTACTCATTAAAGGCGAGCCCAAGCCGACTTACATGTTTGCCTAGCACCCAGTGTCCTGTTATTACTGCTATCACCCTCAATATATCCCGCTCATTTGCCCCGTTCGTTTCCATAATAGTCCCTATGCGATGGGACCCAAACAAGGGTAATGACAGACAAGCTACCCAGCCTTGAAAGATCCTTCTTGCATTGCCTAACTAATAGGGAAGTGTTAGTATAAGAATTTAGTGAAAGTTGCCGTGAATATTGAGGTCATATAATACCCTACAGCCTGACATTATCACAAATATTTCAGCCTGAAAAATACTAAAGTTGATGGGAAGACGGTGAGTTAGATCGCAGTTCAATTTAGAACCATCCTATAGCACATCTCCTAGAAGAAACACTGATATTGAAAACTCTATCAAAGTCTGTGTGTGGGGTAATATAGTCGGATGGTAATATAGCCGGATACACTCAAAAATTAAATCCGCATACAAGAACACATTAACTTTTATGTCGAAAAAGACTTAGGGCCGGTTTTATAGTTCACACTAGGGGAAGAAATTAAACTTAAGTTTGAAAATTTCATACAAATTTCTAAAATTAAGTGTAGTTTCACCCCTTAGATCTAAAGCAAAAATGCTTTTACTTAAAATGTTTTTAGAATGTCCAAAGGAAATTCTTTTTAAAATGAAATTTCTATAATTTTCTTCAAATTCCGCTTTTTAGTATTGAAATTTACAAATATCTAGTTAAAAAAATAGTTTTAACTATTTATGAGTTATTACTAGAAAACATTTAAAAAATTTTACAAAATCTCGGACAGAATTTTTACTTTCAAAATTTGTATGAAAATCGTGAACTTTTCGTGCAATATTTACGTCCCAGATACTGACGTAAATATTTCTACAAATTTCTACACAATTTCTCAAAATGAAACTTTTATTTTGTTTAAAATAATGTCAAAAGAAAGTTTATTTCAAAACAAAAGCTTTTACGAGTTATAACAAAATAATCATACGCAACGTAGTCTTGTTATCATAACATAAAAATGTATATTAATCATACGTTCAGGTGTTTACTCATTAAAAAGGATTTGTTTATTTAAATTACGTTTTTGCAGAAAAACTTTAAGTAAATATTAATTAAAGGATTAAAGTAAACTAAAAGAAAAAGTTTTTTTTTATTTTTATAAGAAGATATTTTTCCTAAAGTTACAGTTAGTATAAAACAATAGAGATTAGTAAAATGTTCCCACAACCTTAAAGAAAAAGAAAATCTTGTACATACTGTTGTTGTTATTGTTGTTATGGCTATTTTTCTGACAACTAGTGTAATCCGGTGATGTAGAGTTATGAAAACTATTATAATGTTTTCTACCAGATAAATTTGTTAAACACCATTGATTGTCTATAGACAAGGAAGAATGCGACTCCAAAGAAGAGCGCTGCTCTTGAGAAGTGTGATGTAAGTTTTGCAGCTGTTGCTGGTGATGATTGTGTTGATGTGGCGGTTCATATGATAAAGGTTCCGATTTCAAAATAAATTTATCACTATGAGAATTATACAATAAAGTGGTCGATTCATTTAGATTTGAATTCAAATTAGAAAAATTAGAACAATTCAAATGATGATGATGAGATATATCACAACCATCAGGAAATAAATTACGACAGGGATAAATTAAATTTGCTGAGTTGGCGGTGGTAGTAGTAGTAGTAGCGGGAGAAGTAGGTACAATTTGCTGATGTTGCTGGTGTTGTTGTTGTGGCGTATGAGAGTGTAGATGATACAAATGATTGTTGTGTGCTTGTTTAAGGTGTAAGGGCAGCTGCTGAGACTGTTGTTGTTGTTGTTGCTGCTGTTGTGAATGCTGCTGATAAGTATTAAAATTGTAACTATCACTTAATTGTATATGATTATTATTTATCTCATAGGCATTTAATTCTGTTTTTATGGCCACATGGGTATTATCATTAAATATTTGATTATTATTAATTTCAAAAGTAGGAGACGAGGGTATAGACGCTGATGTATGGGAGGAATTTAAAGTATTTGCTGGATTACCTAAAGAGTTGGAGGGCTCTTGTTTCACCACTATCAAGGAGGCCAAACGATTACGCATTTTATGTTTAAATCTTCAGAACGTTTAAGTAAAATAGTATAAACATTTTCTTTATAACTTTAGGTGGTTTGTTGAGGTTTTTGGCGAAAAAAAAGTATGATTTAAATAACAAAATATATACATATAACTAAAACAACAAAACATTTACAACATTTAACACTTAATAAACACCTGTGGAAGGTTTCAAAACCCTCAGGCGCGTTATATAATTCTCCAGCTCCAGCACGCCGCTTTTTTCCCTTGATTGTGTTGTAGAAAATTTCTAATTTTTTTTAAAGAAAATTTCTTGGTTTAAATCTTGTTTTTTGTTAACACTTTTTTCTGTTTCTTTAAAAAAAGGTACTTTTTTAAATTTTCTTGTATTTAGGATTTAAAAGTATACATTTTTTTCTTTTCACTTTAACAACGACGTCAGCATTACGACGTAATACTTAACGAGAGCATCATTTACGTTATACAATTTTCTATTCTATTCTCATTCACTTTCACATTTGTGGGTGGAGAAAAGTGAGTAAAACACAGGCACAAGGACGTTTGTTAAATTTTTGTAGTAGAAAGTTTTTATTCTTTAGTTTTTCTTAAATTTTTAAGTTAATTGTAATATATTGGACTTTTTAAAGTTGCGAGAAGTTTTTATATTTAAAAATTTAAAATTTTTATACATTTTTTTGTTGTAATGTTCATAAAATCTTTTTTTTTTTAGTTTTGTGTTTCTGTTGGTTTATAGGCACTGTGGGGCGTTTTACTTTGTAATTATTTAGTTCCAGTGTTTTTTGTTTAAATAAATTAAATTTTCAACACTTATACTTTGGCTAGTCCAGTTACAGTTACGCTTTAAATAGTTTTATAAAAGTGTTTAGATTTTCTTTTTTTGTTTTACTTTAAAAAGTTTGAAATTTCTTGATTTTTATAGATTTTTAATGAAATTTTCAAAAATTATAGTTTTTTTTTTGACATTTAATACAGTTGTTTTATTACTTTAACACTCATACGCCTTGTAGTTTTTTAAATATATTTTTATTGTTTAACACTCATACGCTCTAGCGAACATCCTTTTTAAATATCTGTTTTTTTTAACAAAAGTTTATTGTTTTTAACTTAAAGTTTTTCTTAAGCAAATTTCTTCATTAGGTGCACATTTCTTCCAGCTTTCTTTATTACTCATACGCACTGTACACAATTTATATTAATCATACGTTTTGTTATTTTTTTAAAAAGTTAGTTTTTTACATAAACTTTAGTAAAATAAAGACTTTCTTAAGAATTCTGTTTAAATTTCTAACAATTTTTGTTATTACTCATACGCACTGTATATTAATCATACGCAGTGTGTTTTTTTTATTTCAATATTTATGAAAATTTTTCTTAAAAGTTTGTTTTTCACATAAACTAATGGTTAAATAAGGATTTCCTTAAGATAACTGTCTGCTTTCATTATTACTCATACGCTCAGTGTGGAAAATGTATAAACAATTAATATTACTCATACGCACTGTAAATATTTAGTACAATTTCAGTATTTTAACACAATTTTCGCTCATTTGTTTGTTTTTGTATGAACAGTAGTATAAATGTTAATTTAAAAATTATTTAAAAAAAAGTCCTTAAATTGAACGTAATGCAATTACAGCTATAAATATTTTAAAGTTTATTTAAAAAATTGTTTGTATTTTAAAGAAAAACCCTTTTGTTTTAGAGATTTCTTAATAAATATCCTTTATTTATAACACTCATACGTCTAGGGTAACTTAAAACTCATACGCCAACGGCAAAAGTTTAGAGCAAATCTTAAATTCTTTTTCTAAAGACACACACACTTTATTTCTGTTTGTATATGACAGCACCGCCGTTTTTATCAAAACTGTATTTTGTTAAAAGTATACTTTTTAAGAAATTTTCAAAAAAATTTCTTTAATTTCACCGCAAAAACTTAAAGTTTAGCACCTTTGAATATGATATGTTTTTGTTGCACGACAAAATTTAAAAAACAAAATGAAAAACAGGAAAATTGTTTGTTAAAAAGTTTTTTTTTGAAACAACTTAAATCGGCCTAAATGTTACATTAAACTTTTATAAAATATAAAATTTTTTTTTAATTTTATTAATTTTTTTATATAAATTTCTTTAATTTTTTTTAGAAAAAAAATTACAATTTTTTAATTTTTAAAAATAATTTCCGTTTAATAATTTTTTTGTGTTTTTTTTATTTGAAATTTATTTTCTAACGGTTTGAGTAGCCGTAAATTAAATGTGTTAACAACGCGGCGTCTGTGACGCGACTGAACTTATATTTACGGTTACACGCGACTATATTCACTTTACCGTTTGCTTGGCTTTGCTATTTTATTGTTGTTGTCGTTGTCGTCGTCTAACATTGCTTTTGCCAAAAAGAAGAAGAAATCAACAGCAACAAACACAATAAATTAATGACGATTTGCTGTGGAGGATGATATTGTGTGATGATATAGTTATTTGTTGTTGTTACCCTCTTCTACGAACGACAACGGCTGAACGATGATGGTTGTTGTTGTTTTGTTGGTGATGAGGCAGGCAAAATGCAAAAAAATAAACAAGAAAACACACACAATACTACTCACTTTATAAAAAGTTTGCACTTTGAGTCACCTACCTCAATATACACTATATTATTGCTCTTTAACAAACACTCTCTTGCTCTCACTTACACACACACTCAACAAAAAGCTTACAAATGCTCCATAATAAACAAAACAATAGTCCCCCAAAAATATAAACAAATCGCGCTAACTCTCTATTGTGTAAAAATCTACCAAAAAACTACCGTTTTTTACTCACATTTTCACTCTCACTCTCTATAATAGAGAAAAAGAGAGAGACAACTCATATATAAATTACGTCATTCTCTAACCATCATCAATATATCTTATATATATCATCAAAAAGTTTATTGCACACTTGAAAGCTTTCCGTTTCTCTCCCATAAACTAGTAGCCTCACATGTACAAAAATAACAACAACATTAGTATTTATAAATGTACATATGTAAGTACTTACTCGTAAAAAATAATGAATGACGTTGTAAAATACAAACAGCGTTTGCGCTAAAATAACAAGAGGGGCCAATATTCTGTGTGGAAAAAAACAAAAATAAAACTAAAAAACATTATCATCATCATCCTTTAGCAGCGAATGTATAAGAAAAACAGAAAATACAATTATTGACGTCATTAATGTACAAACTCAAACACACACACACCTTCTGGCTATGGGTACGTATGAGTGTTAATATAAAAAAAAGCTTTAAAAATTCTGTAACTAAGCCAAAAAAGGAAATTTATAAAAACAACACCAACAAATATTTTGTTGGTTTTTAAGGGAATAAAGTGCATAGATTTGTTATTGTTATTTGTGTTTGTATTTCCTTTCCGCTGGGAAATTTATTTAGAAATTTTTAGATTTTCTTTAAACAGGACTTTATTTTGTTGCTACAATTGTAAGTAAGAAAGAAATTTACTTGATTCAATTTTGAAACCTTGTTTCGAATTATCCAATGTTTCTTTAAGCTAAACGTGTCTTGTCTTTGTTAATTCAAGCAATTGTTTGTTATCGTCTCACTCAGGGAGAGGTATTATTGAATGGCCTTCTAATAGACTGTCTTTTTAAGAGTTGCTGGTCACACTCCTCGCTGCCTGTAGGGGCATGGTGATATTGCAATCCGGGTGTATAACTAAAGTTGCTACCAATATCTCCAGTCTTTTCAGGACTATAAACTGGAGTAACTATTCGTTAACTCGGGGTCTGACCAATCAATCACATAATTTAGTACTATGATAGTCGATAGGCTGCAGGCTGAGATCCCTTTGGGATACACGTACTGGCTGTGGTTTAAACTTAAATGTCGTTCAGTCTGCCAAATACGTCTATACATGCTGTTGCCGAGGAAACACAAAAGAATTCTTCAGAATGCCGGACAGACACCAACAAGACTGCGGTGTTCAGAAATTAGATAGGTCAAATAGTTGAGCAAAGTGCTTGTACTTGGACCGACATTAGACACCTAGGAGTTCTATGTAAGTCAAAAAAGACAGTGGTGAGTCGTCTCTAACTAATCCTCAATAAAACAATTGGACATTCAACGACACCTTTCAACTTTGTTCTTGACAAGGCTAGCCTAAGAGTTCTAGTCGATAACTACCACAAGAAGAATTTTCTCAGGATCTGATTTCCTCTGAAAGACTTTCCGCTTATCCATATCCAGCTTAGCAATTTGACTGCCAAGAATTCTGGCGATTAACTGTTACATCCGTGTTTGTAGATTTGCAGGGAACAAGGACATTAGTGTTATGTCAGCTTCTTGTCATTCCATGCTAAACTCTCTGCTTACGCTCGTTTTTGGACAGATTAACCCTAGAAGCGATCCACTATCTTATAGTTGAACTGCAACTTTGTCAATTGGTTTACCGGTGTCGTACATTGCTAAGCAGAGCGTTTTATCTCAGCCACTTCGGGGTAAACTTTTTATTTAAGCTTTCTTTACAGCGTTGGTAGGAATCCTTTACTTCAAGGTTGATTGGCCGACGTTATAGCCCTCACAATAGCTTGCATGACCATCTGTACTGGAACTTTGTCAGTTGGGTTACCGGTGTCTTACATTACTAAGCAGAGCGTCTTCTCTCAGCCACTTTGGGGTAAGCTTTCTATATAAGCTTTACAACGTCTAGCTCTCTTTACTGCATTGGCACGAACCCTTTACTTCGAAGTTGATTGACCGACGTGATAGCCCTCACAATGACTTGCATGGCCTTGTCTCCCTTAATGGCTATATGTTAACTAAATACTCTTTTGAGCAAGGTATGTGTCTTTATTCATAGGTCTCGTCTTCTTTGGAAGATTTGATGCTCTTTGTCTCAGATGTTGAGAGAAAATTTTAAGTATCCTTTGTAGTGTTTTAAAATTTACCCAACATAATCATCGAGAGTATCTTCTTTATGCTTCTTAGCTCCTAATTGAATTAATTTGATTAAAGTGGAATCTACAAAAAAAGGACCTTTTTCTTACGTATTTTTTTGGAATTCTACGAAAAATACAAAAAGATAAATAAATCGTTTCGAGTGGGGTATAGAAGTATCTAAACAAAAATAAATGATGGTTAAACAACTCATTAACATTTTTAAACTCCCACGTTTTCATGCAATATTATTTAAAATTTTCTTATAAGATTTATTTAAAATTTAATGATTTTTACATGTGTCCATAAAGTATAACAATTATAAAGAAAAAGATTTCTTTGAAAATAAATAACTTTCCAAAAACTTTTAAGGAAGTTTTTTAATGAAACGAAATAAAAACTTTATTTACAATTAAAAATGTATGTACTTTTTTTAAACATTAGTAGATGATTTCCGTTATTAACTATTTATAATTAATATTATTACAAATATGTAAAGTTTTAAATTTTTGTTAATTATAAAAAAGTTTTTTGTGCACCACACGTGTCATTTTTTTCTATTTCTAAATCTATAGATAATTAAAATCTTTATTAAATAAAGATTTTATATTTATAAAAAATTTCATAGAAATTCATAACATGAACAGAATGTGACCTTTAACCCATTGGATAATTATTTAAACATGAAGCAGAGTCCACGGTTGAAACGTCAAATACTGCAATTTTGGAATTTCAAATAACATAAGATAAGTCTAGTCTATAGTCTAGTCTATAGTCTAGTCTAGTCTATAGTCTAGTCTAGTCTAGTCTATAGTCTAGTCTATAGTCTAGTGTATAGTCTAGTCTAGTCTATAGTCTAGTCTAGTCTAGTCTATAGTCTAGTCTATAGTCTAGTCTATAGTCTAGTCTATAGTCTAGTCTATAGTCTAGTCTATAGTCTAGTCTATAGTCTAGTCTATAGTCTAGTCTATAGTCTAGTCTATAGTCTAGTCTATAGTCTAGTCTATAGTCTAGTCTATAGTCTAGTCTATAGTCTAGTCTATAGTCTAGTCTATAGTCTAGTCTATAGTCTAGTCTATAGTCTAGTCTATAGTCTAGTCTATAGTCTAGTCTATAGTCTAGTCTATAGTCTAGTCCTATAGTAGTCTAGTCTATAGACTAGTCTACTAGTCTATAGTCTAGTCTATAGTCTAGTCTATATCGTCTATAGTCTAGTAGCTATAGTCTAGTCTATAGTCTAGTCTATAGTCTAGTCTATAGTCTCTATCTAGTCTATAGTCTATCTATAGTCTAGTCTATAGTCTAGTCTATAGTCTAGTCTATAGTCCTAGCTATAGCTACTAGTCTTAGTCTATCTATAGTCTAGTCTATAGTCTAGTCTATAGTCTAGTTACTAATCTCTAGTATCTATAGTGTCTATAGTCTAGTCTATAGTCTAGTCTATAGTCTAGTCTATAGTCTAGTCTATAGTCTAGTCTATAGTCTAGTCTATAGTCTAGTCTATAGTCTAGTCTATAGTCTAGTCTATAGTCTAGTCTATAGTCTAGTCTATAGTCTAGTCTATAGTCTAGTCTATAGTCTAGTCTATAGTCTAGTCTATAGTCTAGTTATAGTCTAGTCTATAGTCTAGTCTATAGTCTAGTCTATAGTCTAGCTATAGTCTAGTCTATAGTCTAGTCTATAGTCTAGTCTATAGTCTAGTCTATAGTCTAGTCTATAGTCTAGTCTATAGTCTAGTCTATAGTCTAGTCTATAGTCTAGTCTATAGTCTAGTCTATAGTCTAGTCTATAGTCTAGTCTATAGTCTAGTCTATAGTCTAGTCTATAGTCTAGTCTATAGTCTAGTCTATAGTCTAGTCTATAGTCTAGTCTATAGTCTAGTCTATAGTCTAGTCTATAGTCTAGTCTATAGTCTAGTCTATAGTCTAGTCTATAGTCTAGTCTAGTCTATAGTCTAGTCTATAGTCTAGTCTATAGTCTAGTCTATAGTCTAGTCTATAGTCTAGTCTATAGTCTAGTCTATAGTCAGTCTATAGTCTAGTCTATAGTCTAGTCTATAGTCTAGTCTATAGTCTAGTCTATAGTCTAGTCTATAGTCTAGTCTATAGTCTAGTCTATAGTCTAGTCTATAGTCTAGTCTATAGTCTAGTCTATAGTCTAGTCTATAGTCTAGTCTATAGTCTAGTCTATAGTCTAGTCTATAGTCTAGTCTATAGTCTAGTCTATAGTCTAGTCTATAGTCTAGTCTATAGTCTAGTCTATAGTCTAGTCTATAGTCTAGTCTATAGTCTAGTCTATAGTCTAGTCTATAGTCTAGTCTATAGTCTAGTCTATAGTC